CACTGTCGGCTGACGTCACTCAGCCCATCCAAACTGGGTAAAGAACTTGACTTTAAAGTCAGGATCCACCCAGATATCTGGACTGGCACCTTGCTCAGCCTTTCAGTGATCTGCTGAGAACCTGAACCAGCCGCTCTTCCCCCTGCACAGCCCATTGCTCCAGTGAGCACAAGGGAGGCGAGGAGCAGAGCAGACAGTGGTGACTGACACACAGAGCACTGAGAACTGAGCAATCAGCAGTGTTTGAGCGCTCAGTTCTCAGTCTTAGAGCCAAACAGGGGACAGGTATAGCATTAGACCAATGCTACATCCACCTAGGTAAGTATGATTTCTGAAAAAAAACAAAAAAACAAAAAAAAACTCCTTTTTTAAGCATTGATATTCAGGTTTCCAAGGATTCTTTAAAGTCTATATAACCACTTAAGCACAACTCCTTTATTGGGCTCAGTTCACACTAGCGTTGAAAGCAGGTGTTTGAAGGGCGTTTTTAATGCTCAAATGCCTATGAAAATGATACACATGGCAGCACACAGTGCTGTTCACACTGAAGCATTAGCGTTGTGTCAAAATTTACGCCTTATGTGGAGTCAGGAGGAGTTGAAGCCTTTCAACGCCTCTCATTCAAGTATATAGCAATGCTCCTCAAATGCCTGGCAGGTGTTTGCGGGGTGTTTGCGGAGCATTAATACCATTTAGTTCATTATAGGCAATTGTGGTGCGGTTTTAAAACGCTTTTAAAACACCCTATAAAATGCCTCAAAACCACGCATAGGCGTTTGGGGAGCATTTTTAACACTTGTAAAATGCCCGTCTAACGCCTGTCAAATACTATAGGTCGTTTGGGAGGAAGTCAAGTGTGAACAAGCCCTTAGAGCAAGGAATATTTAGAACAGGTGTCATCAGGACTAGAAGTGAGAGAAATCTTTAAAACTGAGACACAGACATAAAAAAAGAGAAAAGCAATAATTGAACTGTTGTCACGTTTTAATTGCTGTGTGTCTCCATTAGGGAGATTCCCTCTAAATTCTTGTCCTTGTAATGGATGTCCTGAGACCCACTGTGCAGATTTTTTTTCTTTTTACTGCTGATACTTTCAACCAAGATAATGTTAGCTCAGTATATGTCTCATATATGGACTGGAAGTCGGTGAACTATATCACTGAATAGCCAGAATAATTCTAAAAGAAATCTCAATATTTAATTTTTGTAATACAACAAGCTAGAGTAGACTAATATGTGCTTTTAAAGCCTGTGATGTAGAAAATTTGAGTAACTGCAGTACCAAAGTGCATTTTCTGTTACCTACATGTACCCTCCATGATTCTCTGTTTGATTTCTGTCTACCTTGCTTGGAACCTCTCCTGCTGTATAGAGGACCTTGACCTCTGCTTGTGCTTATCACCACCAACTTGGGGCAAACCCTGCCCTGCATAAGCTAAAGGCCATCCTCATTGTTTAACATTCCAGTTTGAGGGATTTTATTGGCCACTAGATCTCTCACATTGGGGTGGTAAAGGCAATGGCAGGATTTGGTGTGGGAGGTGGTGGGGTTTAGTTTCAGTTGAAGATGTCAAAACCTTCTATACAGCTTTGCGCTCCTAGAGGGATGGATAGAAATCTGAGAAAAGTGGCACTTTGGTGAGATAGTGTCCTGGTAGTCTGTTCTGGTTCTGGTATTCAGCTTTGCTTTAAATAACTTAAAGAGGTATTAAACCCAAAAACAAAAATTAATATATTGTAGCTTACCAATCTCTAAATGCAGTGTCTGCATTGGTTTTCTTTTTTTCTTCTCTTTCTCCTAGTGATCCGGCAAGTAAAACACTTCTGGTCTTAGAGTTTTATAGAGTGGAGAGGGACTAGGACACCTGTCAGTTTTTATTGCTGTCTGTGCCCCCGTTAGAAAGATTCACTTTCTCCATTTGTCCTATTTACCGTTATACAGTTGCAAGAAAAAGTATGTGAACCCCTTGGGATTACGTGGAGTTTTGCATGAATTGGGCATAAAATGTGCTCTGAATGTCATCTAAGTCATCTAAGCTTTGCTGCCTCAGGGCCTGGATGGATTGTTGTTATTGATGGGAAAATGAATTCCAGAGTTTATCAAGACATTTTGCAGGAAAACGTACGACCATCTGTCCGCCAACTGAAGCTCCGCAGAGGATGGGTGATGCAATAGGACAATGACCCAAAGCATACAAGTAATTCAACAAAACAATGGCTGCAACAGCACAGAATACGCCTTCTGGAGTGGCCCAGTCAGAGTCCTGACCTCAACCCGATTGAAATGCTGTGGCATGACCTTAAGAGAGCGATTCACACCAGACATCCCAAGAATATTGCTACACTGAAACAGTTTTGTGAAGAAGAGTGATCCAAATTTACTCCAGATCATTGTGCAGGTCTGATCTGCAACTACAGGAAACGTTTGGTTGAGGTTATTGCTGCCAAAGGAGGGTCAACCAGTTATTAAGTCCAAATGTTTACATGTTATGTGCAATTAAACCATGGCAACATCTAATGTTTGTGTAGTATTATGTTCAGCAGACTGTGTTCTTCTATTGTTGTGACTTAGATGACATTCAAAGCACATTTTATGCCCAATTCATGTAAAACTCCACGTAATCCCAAGGGGTTCACATACTTTTTCTTGCAACTGTAGTTGAAATTGAAAGTAAAAGAAAGTACCAAATTTTGGGTTGACATCAGAACACTAATAGAGGGAAAATCTTCCAATGGGGACACTAGTTTTGCCTAAGGGACAGAAAGGGAAGTTAAATCTCCTGAATGGGATATAGATGGCAAAATAAAACTGGCAGGGGCTATAACCCTTGTTATTTTTCAAAGATGATGATTTACAATTAGGGCTTAGTTCAGTAGGGGTTATAACCCTCCCTTACTTCATCCAGAATGAAAAAAAAATGTTTTGCCTTTAGTTACACATTAACTTCAGCTAATACTTTATATAAACAGTTACAGCAACAGTTTCTTCCTTTTGGGATTTATTTATTTAGTTATTACAGATACTTATATAGCGCCATCAATTTACACAGCACTTTACATATATATTGTACATTCACATCAGTCCCTAACCCTCAAGGGGTGTACAATCTACGGTCCCTAACTCACATTCATGCATACACATACTAGGGCCAGTTTAGACAGGATCCAATTAACCTACCAGCATGTCTTTGGAGTGTGGAAGGAAACCGGAGTACCCGTAGGAAACCCACACAGGCACAGGGAGAACATGCAAACTCCAGGCAGGAGGTGCCGTGGCTGTGATTCGAACCAACGACCCTAGTACTGCCAGGTGGAAGTGCTAACCATTTAGCCACTGTGCTGCCCATAAAGGTTTTACATAATTGAATAATAGGTGACCATTGTCAGCGTTAAATAGTTTGCCTCAACCCTCTAAATCAACCTTTTCAACATAGTGGAACCCTTGAAATCACTTTCTGGTTCCAGAGAACCCCTGGAAAATACCTACTATATCTACAGTAGTGATATGGTCAGTGGGAAGAATGCTCTTTACAATTGTGGTCATTGGGAAGAATTCCACCTTACAGATAGCTAAAAAGATCAATGGTGTTAGTGGGAATTTATCTAAGAGGCAGAAATTGCTCATTGCTCAAGGAATCCCTAACAACCTCTGGAGGAACCCAAGGGTTACATGGAACCCTGGTTGAGAATCCCTGCTCCAAATGCTACTTTGGGTAGCTTGGTCTGTTAAAGAAAGTTGAGAAATAACACCCTTACTGGCCAGATCACATGGTGAAAATAAAGGAAAAACTAAAAGACAAAAAAATAATACAGCCACCATCTAAGAACTGGTGAGCTGCAATTTAATAGTTTTTCATTTTGGGTTTAATACTGCTTTAAAGTATAAAATATGTAAACCTTAACAAAGAACATTTCTTAATTCGATACGTTAAATAATCTATAAAGCTTCCCTTTGCAGAATCATCTCAAAAAATTTTATAAGGAAGTGTGTAAGGTCTAATGCAATGTAGATGGGGAAAAGAGTTCTGTAGCCCTAACAAACGTCCCGTCCATGGCTGACAATGCTGCTTCTCCATAGATGCAGTACAGCGAGTGAGCATTATCACCATAGGACAGGTAGTGTGTTACTTGCAGAATCACCAAGTAAAAATAAAACGTATTACACTACTACATCTAACTTGTAAGCTTCAATATATTACATTTTTGTTTCTTGGTTTGAATACAGATAAATATGAACATTTGGACAATCCTTTACATCATCTGAAAAATTGGCTCTAAACTAAACATTTTATAGGCTTTATATTGTAATTATAGAAACTTATGTGTATAAAAAAAACAAGTTAACCCCCAGGATTTGCCAAAAATCAAATGTTGCTATTTTCTGCTGATTCCATTAATCAAGTGTTAAATATGATTACGGCTTTGTGGTACATCCCAAAGGATTTGGAAATGATAACTCCATGAATCTGTGTTAAAGTTTTTACAAGCTGCAATAAACTTGGCATTTTCATCCCTTTTACTTTTTGCTTCTACTAAAGATGTATATAGTACATTTATTTAAACACAGATTATAGTATTTGGCTAGCATTCACATTCTTAATTTATATGTTTATCCGTGCGAATGGTTGTTTTTGCTATAATAGCATGCAACGATTCCCTACTCTTTTGCCAGACCACGATTTTCAATAATATGTCAGTTTTCATCCATTTAATGTTTTTTGGCATTATTTAACAGTAGTTGTTGGGTAACAGCTGTTGCGGGGAAGTAAAAGCATTACTGAACATGTAAACTTTCACTAATGCGGTGCTACCAAGACCAGTACACCGACCCAACAAGGCATATATTTCTCACTGACAGGCAACTGCTCAATTGCTTCACATACTTTGTACTGCTAAAGTCCTTCAGTGTGCTACTAAAATGTGAATATTTAGAGTTTGCTCCTCTTAAATTGCCTCTATCCCTAAGAGGTTAAAGGTTTTTTTTGACTTCTTTTGTTTTGTAGCCTCCCTGGCGGTATTCCTGAGTGTAGCTCGGGGTAAAGTTTCAGTACCAAAAGTGGTAACCCCGAGCTACACTCGGGAATACCATGCGGCGCTGCTCCGGGATCTGTTCTTCTCTTACCTTGTCCTACGCTCCCGCGATGTCCGTCCTGCAGTGTTCCCAGCATCTGCGGATGCCGGCATCTGTCATCTGGGTTCCGTCCCCTGCGAGCATCGGGACGTACGGTGGACGGAACGGCAGGAAATTTGAAAATGACAAAAAGTGACATTCACTAAAATCACTAAAATCACATAGTAAAACATTACTGTATCAAAGCATTTCACATACATTTTGTCCCTAGTGCTTTGTCCTGTGCCCTGCCTGCATTTTTACTGTTCTTTCTGCCCGGAAACTGAGAAATGTCCATGGCGTCCAAAAAGCGTCCCTTTAGGTCAAAATCGGTTTTAGACCAACTAGAGAACAGCGATAGTAAATCAGAACCACTTGCAGAATTGAGTGATAATGATTCGTGGGGAAATTCGTCATCAGACACTGAAAACGATTTTGCGACTTTGCTCAGTGATGTGCGAACTTGGCGCTATATTTCAAATTTCAGTGTTTTTGGTTTGATTATATTATTGAATTAAATTTATTGTTATTATATTATTATTTTTTATGATTTATTAAATTATAATTTATGATTTCGTGTTTCAAGTTTTATCCTACCCGGGATGTTTACTAGACTCTTGTTCGGACAGATTTCAGTGAGTTATTCCTAAAAATGACAGGCCTACAATAAAAAACGCCAAATTTCCCTGCAAAATAATGGTACCGCTTTCAGCACCAAAAATCTGAAATAATCAGACCACCAGGGAGGTTAAAATAAGTATTTGCAGTGCAGAAATGTTAATGTTGACCTCTATTTTTCATGTTTTTGTTCTCTTTTTGGTATGTTTTATTATAGAAGAAAACTCAGCAATAATCTAGCTTAAAAAAAAGATTTTTCTGCTACCAACCCCCCCCCCCCCCCTCCCCCCTCAAAAAAAAAAAAAAACAGCTGGACCTCATAGTAAGCTCTCTGTGGTAGCCTGTTGGCTGCTAACTGTAATGGGAGATTTCAGTGACCAAAGTGGTGAGTTGATTTCTAATAAAAGCTGGTATCTATGTAGCAAAGCACTCTGTTTTTTTTCTGGCAAATCTTGACTGCATACAGTAATCTATTACACCTGATGCTCCTGTAGCTGCCACTTTATTATCATGCAGTTCATTTCAAATTTGCTTTCAATCAGACTAGACTGTGCTTGTTTATTGATCAAGGAGGAATTCAAAAGCCCTAGTAATACAAATAACAGTATTGTATAATAATAGAGGTAACAACAAATGTTCAGTTCTTAAAAATAGGCTGTTTATTCCAGCAGAATGAAACATAAAGAATATACAGGCACCCAACCACAAAGTAAATGCATAAATGGCAAAACAAGCTTCTGTTCAAGTGATCTTTACTTAATCCATGTGTGGGTAGGTGCAGCGTGGTGCAGCAGAGTAACTACACAGAGTCAGGTTGCAGGAACAAGAACTTGTCTTAACCACTTGCCCTCCAGAGGATTTACCCCCCTTTGCTGACCAGGCCATTTTTTGCATTATGGTGCTGTTTTACTTTAACTGACAATTGCGCGGTCATGCAACGCTGCACCAAAATGAAATGTATGTCCTTTTTTCCACACAAATAGAGCTTTCTTTTGGTTGTATTTGATTGCCTGTGCATTTTTTATTTTTTGCACTATAAAAAAGAGACCGACAATTTTGAAAAAAAAAACAATATTTTTGACTTTTTGCTCCCTCCTTCTGCACAGCTCAGCACTCCAGTGAGCGCTGGGGAGCTGAGCAGACAGCAGTGACTGACAGTCCTCAGATCATGTGATCGCTGACTTCTCATCTTTAGTGCAGGCGGGTGACAGATGCAGCATTGTCCCTATGCTGTATCCACTTAGGTAAGTATAAACAGGGGGAAAAAAAAACCAATACTTCTCTTTTAAGTTTCTTAAAATGAATACTTAAAGTGTTACTAAACCCACAATAGTAAAATCAGTCTGTATATGCAGTAAAGCATGCTTGTTATACTCACTGTGGAACCTAAGGGATTAATCCTCTGCATTGTGTAAAAAGGCTGTTTGATCCTTTCTTCTCTGCTCCTACTCTTGTTGAAATGTCCACCTGATACAGACTGAATCCATAGTCACATGCACATGCTCAGTTTGGTGTGTATTGCTAGAGAGGTTTTTTTTTTTCTTGGGAGAGTGCCTGTGATCAGCACAGAGCCAATCAGCACTGTCCAGACAGAGGGTCAGGACTTTCACATCCTCCTAGAGCAGAAAGAAAACTCCTCCTACAAGCTTTAACCAGTGCTCAGTTGAAGTCACAAGACTGTTCTAACTGCTGATGAGAAAAGGTATTTAGCAGTTTATATTTACTAAAATAATTGCATTTCCATGTTCTGTGTACTGTGGGAGACCAGATATAGTGAATGCAGGGTCCTGGATTTAGTAACACTTTAAGAAACTGTGGAACCACATATCTCTTATTCAACACTTTTTCATACAACATAACTGATTTTACGATCACTATGTTACACCAGTTGTTTTTTTTCCTCTGCGTTTAGTATTTTTCCTCTGTTAACAGATGAAAAACATTGTATTAACAGTCTTTGAGGTGTCTATACAATGATCATACACTATGATGTGTAGGTTAGGCAACACTGCGAAAACAAACCAACCAGCCGCATTCAAAACAATGATTTTGCAAGACTTTGAAAACTATATATTTTTTCTGGAATTTTGTGTACAATTTTGTAGATTTTTTAAAATCAGTATTAGGGGTGTGCAGATCTGACTCAGTTTGGTCTGTAAAAAGCTTTCCCAAAGTTTGTGACCTTTATGGTGAAACCCATTGAAGTTGATAGACTTGTTACTTTCTGGCAATTTGTAGGGCAAAGAAGAAAGCTATTGTGAAAAGAAAAGATAAGGGAATCTGCGAACTGTCATGTAGGTTACCAATGCCACAATAAAAAAAAAAGAAATAAAGAAAAATATAAAATAAAATAAAGAAAAAAAATAATCTCTCCCTACACAGAACCATCAGCCCTCCCTAATAGCTGAAAATGTGGGTTGTGAGCCCACCTTTTTATGAAAGGAGGGCAGGGTTATCCATTTCTTCTAATTATTTTTTTTCTGACCATGGCAAAGGCATTTTACTGTATTATAGATGTTCCTTATTCCTGGCAGTAAACCTACAAACCTTTTGGCCAAAAAGTTAGATTTTCATTGCAAATCCCTTAAATCCTTAAAAAAAATTGTTTAAAAAAAAACCAATAGATGATTAGTATGGCAGTTTGTTTGCATATTAATGTGATTACTGCAAACATTTTATAAACGAACTACAATGACTAATGCATGCCATACATGGTTCGAATTCCGAATAATTTTTGTACGAAAATCGGACCTAAGAATAATCAGCCGATTTTCGCTCTGTTAGTGGGGCAATGGCATCGGTCAATTTTCGTGGTTCCTCTCCATTTCGTTTATCTGGCATGATGGAAAATTCATGAAAAACGACCGATTTTCGAAATCATTGCTGTCACCATCAGATTACAGAACGAACGACATTTCGATTTTCATATGAAAAATCGTTTGGAATTCGAACCATGTATGGCATGCATAAGTAATAATTACAACAGACACATAAGTCTGCAAGCCATAAAAGCTCACGAAGCCTCTGACACAAGCTACTTTGCATAAATTGAAGATGTCTACTCATGACATTTGTGATGGATTTTCTGTAAGATCACCATTTGACTTTTAAATTCCCACATTTGCTGCTTGAAGGTACCACTGCACAAATATTATTATTATTATTATTATTATACAGTATTTATATAGAGCCAAAAGGTTTGCTCAGCGCTGTACATTATAGTGGGGGACAGTACATGAGACAATACAGTAACAAAACAGTATACGAGGGGTTCGAGGGCCCTGGGTCTTTTGAGCTTACAATCTAGGAGGGAGGGGATAGTGGTACAGGAGGAGAAGTGGCTGTGGGGGATGGAGTGGTAGGAGGAGTGGAGGAGATCGGCTGTTAGGTGAGGGTGGGGTAGGCTTCCCTGAAGAGATGGGTTTTCAGGGTGCGCCTGAAGGTGAGGGGGGTAGGTGACAGTCTGATGGATTGGGGTAGAGAGTTCCAGAGGATGGGGGAAGTCCTGAAGAAGTCCTACAGTCGGGCGTGGGAGGAGGAGACCAGGGAGCTAGAAAGTAGGAGGTCTTGTGAGGAGCGAAGATTATGGGTTGGGTGGTATTTGGGTATCAGGTCAGTGAGGTAGTTTGGGGCAGCGTTATGAATGGCTTTGTATGTCAATGTTAGTAGTTTGAATTTAATGCGCTGGGCAATCGGAAGCCAGTGGAGGGAATGACAGAAGGGGATGGCAGAAGTGGAGCGGTTGGTAAGGTGGATGAGTCTGGCCACTGAGTTTAGGATAGTCTGTGTTGGGGTAGGCCAGTGAGAAGGGAGTTGCAGTAGTCCAGGCGTGAGATAATAAGGGAGTGAACGAGTTGTTTAGTAGTGTCTGGGGTTAGGAACGTACGTATTTTGGAGATGTGAAAATATGAAACACCAAAATCATTGTCCAAAAAAAAAAACTAAAAACAGCTTAAATATGTTTTATTTTAATTTGATCACTGATACATTTTATAAAGAGTGTTTAGTTATATATAGGCTTACCATAATTATTATTATTATTTCTAGCTGGGTCATTTTCAAGTTTTAATGATCAAATGGCGTATATATGTATATATAAAACATATGCCTGTTACCTGTAAAAATCATTACGTTTTCTACGTTTTCCAATTGCAATGATAACAACAGGGTGAAAATGTCATTTTCCTGCTCTGTACTTCACTCTCAGCCCTCCTCCACAATTAGCTGCTCTTCCAACCTGCCTTCTGCTCCTGCTGCGATACTGCTGGGAGAAAAGTCACTTTGTATAAGCATAGGATAATGTAAATTGATGTCAGCACACAGGCAGCATCTAACACCTTTTAATGAGACTAAAACACAGTAATAAAGTGTCAAACTAGGTAATGGAGATTTTAAATGGAGATTATACAATAAAAAAAATGCTGCAAAATCTCATTTTGTGTGATCCAACTGTCTGCATTCACTAGCATTTATGTCATACTGTATATACATGCACCATTTTCCATAAAGTTTTACAGGTACCACAGAATTATTAGCGGTAGTCCCAGTCCCAAAATAGCTGACAGTCTAATGTCTCATACATAAACTGAATCCATTTTTACAG